CGAAATTTTGTATTAATATTAGCAACGTATGTGCAAAATTTCAAGGCTCTATCTTTAAAGTTGCAGTTAATGCCTCACTATCGGTATTTTTGCCCATAGTGCATTGATCTGAGCTGTGCGATAAATATCGCCTTCTCACGGTGCGCGATATATTTACTTGTAAGGAAATTCACTCCGTTCTCTTGTCACATGCCATGGCCGTTTCTTCCCATATTCCCCATCGAGTCAGTTGCTGGGCATGCGAAGCCATTGAAGCGAATGCTCACCCAATATGGCCATCGACTGGCGGCGTTCCGTATCGCTGGCCATCGACTCGCCTCGGCTGGATGTGTGTGCGTGCGTGCGTGCCGCCATTTTCATATTCAGCTGCCACCGGAAATGCGCATTTTATGCAAGTGTCACCCAATGGCGTCCAGCGGAAGTTGTTTATCTTACGCCGTTGCCATTGCCGCTGCCATTGCCATGGCCGCCAGCAACGCGGCGAATACGCGCTAGCCGTTGATAATATAATTATGAACGTGTCATGTGAATGGGAAAAGGACATTTATATATATACGCATATATACTAGGCCCGACTCGGCTTGGCACACACTTTGACCTGATGCTGGTAAAAGTCTACACTTTTGGGATTTTTGGGATTTTTCATTTTATACAATTCCTCTTCAATATAATTGGAAGAGTTTATAATATACTTTATATCAACTTTATATCACCTGTTTAAGGCTCATTATGAATAAACACTGTTTTTAATAAATCTATTAGCAACAAAACGAAAGAGGTCTATCTATATATAAGCTACTTAGAGCATGATATCATATCATAGGCATGAATATTGGTCAGACTTCTTCAGAGCAGCTCTTATTAAGAGCAGATCTTTATGCGATAATAATAATTATGGATCATCATAATCATAATCAATTTGTGAATCCCATCAAGCAGTCGCGCTGCTACTGAGAGCTAAAGCCGATTGCAAACTCTCTTTGATGTCTGTTGTCTTTCTCTCTCCCTGATCTCCGAGCTCGATGCCCTGGCTCGGGACGTGTCTACGCTCTGAGTAGCAAGACAATTTTCAGTTTTTTTTCATGAAGATTCTCCATTACAAAGTATTTTTGATACCTTAGTCGAATCGGTCTGCAAACATAAAATCAAGTAATTCCGATTTACATAAAAGTATCGATACTTTTTTCGCAAAATATCTCTCCTCCCCCTATTTTGACCTCTCTCTCACTTTCACTTTCTCTCTCTCTCGCTCTCGTTCTATCTCTCACTCTCTCTCTCTCTCTCGTTCTATCTCTTTCTCTCGATCGTTTTGCACTACAGCCCAAATCGGAAGAGTTTATCGGATTGAAGCTTGGCTTCGTCTGATTTTTGGCAATTGTTAAAGGGAATGAAATTTCCCAATATTCTTTAGTGATATACTATATAAACCTAGGCGCATTTACCATTTATAAGCTCATTTAAACTTTGTTGAACATGCGAGCAGAGTATTTAACAGTCGGCCAAGGCTGCAGCAATTAACAGCGAATTGAATTCAACTGAACTCTTTTTAATTTTTAACTGATTTTCATAAAATGCATGCAGATAATAGCCGCGTGTCTGGTTCGGTGGCCAAGCGGAGATAGCTATCCTTTTTAGCCTTTTTATCCTTGCTCATTTTTTGCCGTTTGTTGTTGTTGTTGTTGTTGTGTGCATGTCAACGGATTTGCGGGTCTGTGACTTTTATGAGCCTCTGACACTGAAGCGCCGCATCGCCATGGATTGCCCCCTCGGCCATGGACTTTTGAAGCGCTTATTACATAATCCTGCTGCTCATTATTAAATGAATTTACAGGATATTAACAAAAAAGAAGAAAAAAAAAAAAAGCGAATAGCACCGCATGCTGCCATCTGCTTTAGTTCTCTCTCAATCGCCGCTCATTAAATGCAACAATTTTAATTGATGGCACGCGCTGCTGGCGCTGCTGCTGCTGCTGCGGCTGACATCCCGCTTATGAGCAAATCAGAGCTTACGCATTCAGCTTAATCATATTTGCAGAAATGTTTTCAATTAAACGACAATGAGACGCGCCACGACCAAAGCCCGCATAAGTCGGTTAATGGATATGCGATTTACGATTTGTCATGGCGCCCGTAAATTATCAGTGTTATTAAAATGGCCAACGGGCCACTCTATATCCCTATCATATATATTAAATCATTTCCACTATAAGCCGATACATTAATTACATCTATATGTATGTGTATGTGTATACATGTGTATTCCTCTGCATATCTTATATTAAGTATTGGGATTGCGCTAGATAGCTCTGGATAGGGTTGAGGCAGTCGTGCTCAAAATATCATCTTAATTCTTTGTATTAGTGCAAGAGAAATCGGGATTGAATTGAGCTCAACTTACACATATACATGTGCTTATATATATATATATAAAAGCTTAGCTTGCAAATGGGAGTTGAGTGTTCATTGCTTACGCTCAAATATCACTGTCACTCGCACTCGCTCCTAAGCAAGAGAGTTTGTTTCTTTCCCCTTTCATTTTCTATTGAGCGCCTTGAGTTAAACTGTTCGTGTGACGACGCTCTCTTAACGAGCATCACATTGAGAAAGATACGATTTACGCTTGTGTTTGAAAATAACTCAATAAGTCAATGCAAACTCTCTTCACACTCTTCCACTCAGACTCACATTCACATGTCCATGCTCAATTTACATACGCAACAGATATGCTTAGCAAATACAACAATCATATGCATACCACTACATTCACAAAACACTTTTTGCTTGCATGCACTCAGCCAAACGGTTAGGGAGCAATCAGAGCGAAACAAAACAACAACAAAAACAACGGCTAGCCGATCGCGAATGAGCTTGTAAAGGAAGCAATGCAAATGGCGCACTCTGAGTCTTTTCGCAGTGTGTGAGTGAGAAACGAAGAAACGGTAAACAATTATAAGCAAGATGCTCCCATGTGTTGGAGTGGTATCTCCTATAAACAGAGTTGCAGCTCTTATTTATCTTGCTTGTATTTCACTCAAACGTTGGCTTATGCGAATTCACTCAAACCCCAATGAGTGGGGTGAAAGCTCTTTGCGAGCAGAAAGCACTCACTGAAGAGTCAAGGACTATTAATGTAGTTGCTAAATCATATTTGTATGTGCAAACAGCTGGAAAACAGGTGATAACCGTGTAGTAAATTAATGAAAGTCAGGTGGAAATAAATCAAACGAGTTCAACATATAAAAGCGATTAAGCATTGACTGCTCTAATTTCAGATAATTTAAAAAGAAACTGTCAATTAGCAATTCATATATGTGTATGTATGTATATATAATATTATTATATTAACATCTACAAAAATGAAACACACATTGCCATATAGTATATATAAACATAGCGAGTATATATTTGAAATTTAAAATATTTACACAGAAAACCACAGTGATAGTTGGCAGAACTTAGAGAGAGTCAGGAATGTAAAAAAATACATTTTTTAAGGTAATTAATCTTTATGAATTACATGCAGCACAGCACCAATAAAACATTAAAGAAAAAGAAAAAACAAAAACAAAAATTATAACAACATTAAAATCTATGCAGCCGAAAGATGATGCAAAATAATTAGCAAACAGCAGCAACAATTGCAGAGAAAAGGTTCTTAAAATAGATTCAAAAGAAATGTGAAAAACAGCATACACCTAGATAAACATACACACACAGACACACATGCACAAAGACTGTCTTAAATGAGTAGCTGCAGCAATGATTGCTGCTATTGCTGTTGCTATTGTTGTTGCTGTTGCTGCAGCTGTTGTTGCTGTTGCCTTTGATGCCGTCTGGCTCAGCGCTTAGGGATATTTCACAATGTTCGCAGCGGCTGACGTCTGTTTGATGGCAGCAGCACCTGCGCTATTGTCACCTGCCAGCCTTCCACTTGTTGCGGTTGGCGCTGCTGCCAGTCGCTGCTGTTGCTGCTGCTGCTGCTGTTGTTGCTGCTGTTGCTGTTGCTTTGTGCTCACTGCAGCTGCCGGATGATACAAATGCGTGCCATAATGCACAGCGCCCGGATGGCTAAAATATGGAATTACAGCAGGACTCGCCGAGTGCTGTTGCTGCTGCTGCAGCGACTGTTGCTCCTCGGCAAAGCCGGCCAAGGACCCAGCATGGCTCTGATAGAATTGTTGCTGCTGCTGCTGCTGCTGGTGTTGCAGCATTGGGTGATAGTGTTGGTATTGGTGCAGCGGCTGCGGCTGCTGGTGTCCTAATGCGTTCGCCGCTGTCAATCGAACAACATGAATTGGTGGCGTTGACTCATGTCCCAGATTGTATGTCGCCTTCGGGTTATTATTGCTAAAGCGTGGCAATATTGCAAATTGATGTTGCTGTTGCAACTGCTGCTGCTGCTGCTGCTGCAGATGATGATGATGTTGCTGCTCGGCTGGCGCCTGCACATAAATGGGATTGTAGTGGACGATGGGCAACGACTGATGCTGTTGGCCGTGCAGTGCTGCTGGTGTGGGCAGCACCAATGTTGCTGTTGCTGTTGTTGTTGCTGTTGCTGCTGTTGTCGCTGGCGCTGTGGCGGATGGACTTACTGCTGATGGCACCGACGCATATTTATGCTGCTGCTCCGCCTGCTTAAGCCCTAGCCGCAATAGTCGCGCCTGCTGCTGCTGTTGCTGCTGTTGGTGTTGCTGGTGCAGCGGATATGCTAAAAAAAAAAAAACATTTGTAGAATGTTAACCAGCTCATTGTCATTGGCTCATCATCACAGCACTCGATGCCAAAGGCTCAATTCACCCAAATTGCCGTTGCCGTTGCTGATGTTGCTGCCCACCAGCAACATGTGTGCAATTCGCTGTTTAGTTTTCGACTTTGTCTCATTTCGATGCTGTATGACACCACAAACACAAACACAAACACAAACGCTGTGGCTTGGCTCTAGCTGGGATTTATGTACTGTTAGCCAGCTCCATGCTCTGGCGACATATTGCCCCTCAGACTGCCCCCCGCCCCAATAACTGACTGAGGCACCATTGTAATGCGATAAGCGGATTTCATGGGACGAACTACTGCCTCGCCCAGCTGGGGTGCTAAAACTGCTTCCGAAAAGGAATATGGAATCAGTTCAAAGTGCACCAGGAAAATACAGTCTTTACTTCAGCCAGCTGGAGCTGGGCTATACGAGTGCATCGTATAGCTATTACATCCTTCAAGCTGTGCTTAAAGGGTTACTTAGAGTACACCTCGAGTACTTAAGCCTGTACCACACACCCTGAGACCCTAGAGCTGCCTTAGCTAAACTTTGGATTAGTTTTACATCATTATTTTCCGTTACCTTCGACAAACTGAATAAAATTTTGAATAGCCTACACCTCGTATACACCTACACCTAGTATATGTATGTATATCCTAAGCTACTCAGTACAAAAACTGGTCAAAGTGAATTGTTTTTTATTTTTTGCCTATTTTCGTACTTTTAAAATAGAAGTTTAAAATTAGTTTACAAACTGAGCTTACGATGTTTTGAATGGGTTAGATTTAAGTGCCCAATATAGCTGGCGCTCACAATGCGGAGTTTCCATTAATCTTAGCCTCTTTTCTGTATATGTGTGCGTCGATATACGCACACACATGCATGCAAAATCGTAGATCTCCGCTATTCTAAGAAAGATGTGGAGAGGTGTTCGAAATTCGAAATATTCTACATCTATAGACTAAACTCTGAAGCCTGTTTATCATCGAATATGGACTGTGTTATCGATAAAAATGTAGATTCACACTGCAAACGCCATACAAGAATATTCTTCATCTGTGGTCTCGTCTCTGAATCGCCTTTAGCATCTACGATCTTCAAGCTCTACTTATAAAACCAAATAAAAATATCGATTATTATCGATACTAGGAATATAGACTGAGCTATCAAGAATTTATATTCAAATATTAATATCAAAATCAGAAATGTTCATCTCTGAAACGTCATTAGCTTTTATGATCTTCTGGTCTTGTTTAAGAGACAAATTGATATATCGATTAGTATCGTTACTAGTAACATATTATCGATAAATGTGTAGACTTGCTCTGCATATGTCATTCATGGCTGGCGATATTCCCGGTTCAGTCATACGGACGAACGGACAAATGAACGAATGAAGCACCGTTCTCGAGATTAGTTTACCTACCGTACAAGGTGCCTTGCTGACCCGCTGGCTGCTCGACATAGGTCGCTGGGGTCTGCTGGTAGATGCGCTGCAGGTGCAGCTGGGGCTGCGCCTGGGGCTGGGGCTGGGGCTGGTGCAGTGGCCCCAGCTTCGGCTGCTGATAAATGAGGGGCTGATAGAGAGCAGCGGCAGATGTGGGCGCCACCTTTGGATAAACAGTTTGCAATTGGTGTTGCTGCTGGTGCTGTTGCTGTTGTTGCTGTTGCTGTTGCTGCTGGAGTTGCTGGGCGGCAGCTAGCAATACGTTCGCTGGTATCTGTAAATAGTGCTGCCCGTAGGCTGCAATCGGGGTGGGCACTGCCGAGGGCGCACTAACTAGGTCCGATTGATAGTACGGTCGGTAGATGCCTTGATGGTCGCGTGCCAATGGGCCGAGCAGTTGCATAACGGGCTGGCTGGCAGCCGAGGCAACTGTTGCTGTTGGTGCTGCTGTGCTGGTGCTGGTGCTGGTGCTGGTAGTGCTGCTGCTGCTGCTGCTGCTCGCGGCAGTAGTGGGCGCCGTTGGCAGGAGGCCGGCGCTCAGTTGCTGCTGCAGCTGGCGCATATATGAGAGCGGTATGGCGATAATGTACTGTACGCGATGCCCCTGCAATGGCAGATGCTGCTGCGGTGCAGCGGCTGCTCCATATTGATATTGCTGCGGGCCAGCGCGCTCATAAATGCTCGGCTCGGCCTCCACATAGCTGTAGCTTGGACTCTGCGTCGACTTCGCAGTCACTGCTCGCTGATACAGCTCCACTTGTGGCGGCACTGCGAATCTAAATCGATGCGGAATTTGCTGCTGCTGCTGCTGCTGTTGCTGTTGTTGTTGCTGTGGTGCAAACTGCAGTGGACCTGGCAGGGCTGCCTTCTGCTCCACTGCTGTGGGCGGCACATACCGTATGTCCGGCTTATCGTAGTAGCTCTGCAAGAAGTGAGTTAATTAAATGCAGTTGCTGCTGCTGCTGCTGCTGCTGCTGTTGCTGCTGCTGCTGCTGCTGCTGCTGTTGCATACCTGTGGCGCTGCATCCGCTGCCGTGTAGCGCACCGTCGTCGGCCCAAAGATGGTTCCACTCTCGGCGGCCTCGTAGTAGCCGCCCGATGAGTAGATGGGTCGGAAGGCCGTCTCTTTGGCTGCTTTGCTTGTGTAAACAGAAGCTGCAAATGAAGGAAAAGTCAGGAAAATTAATTAAGAGAAAACTTCATTAAACTCTGAAGAGGTGAGAATGATGCAGTCGGCAGTGCTCGACTAGCAGATACCCTAAACGATGTGAACTGTTCACTCGCTATACGCATACACAGCGACTGCGCTCGGGCTACGCTCAAAGGCTTTACTATGGGAAACTAATTGCTGCATAACTTTTGATCTAGTTGGAATTTTCGAATCAAATTTTCAGAGCGTTACATGTTTGCCAAAATACAACGCTCAGCTATTTCGAATTTCCTGTACCTGAAATCCCATCTGTTCTAAATATGTAATCTTTTAATTTTACTATTAATAAATACCAACATATATCTTTATACCTATCGTTAAATATGTATACACTTTATGATAGCTGCCACGCCTACTACATATTGCGCCCTAAAAAGACGCCCCCAATGGCTGCAGATGATGCTCTTAGTGAGCAGCAGACGAGGAACTCAGCTTATCATCTTGAGCAGGAATATAGATGGTTTCTATCGGTAACATACTTCTCCACCCAGCGAATATACCCTAAGAGCCCTCTTCCACTAGCTGCAGTGTGTACCCCCAGTGGGCAGCCGGTAAGTTGCAGTGAAGTGTTCTTAGAAACTTCACTCACCTGTCTGATCCGATGAGTCGCGCTTCTCCGTCCTGCTCTTTGGCTCCTCGACGTTGGGCGTTAGCTTTGTGGTGGCAACGGCTTCAGCCTGGGCCTGCTCAGTCGCCGGCTTGGACTCCAGCTCGGCGGCCTGGCCAAGCAGGAAGCAGCACAGGCCAAATACGGCAAGCTGGCAGTGAGAGAGACAGAGAGAGAGAGAGAAAGAGAGAGGCAGAGGGGAGATAAATTTTAATTCATATTTAATTTAAAAATTAATAATAATTTCCAAATGGCAGTTTTAATCGGATTTTAATGCTCATTTGGCTAAAAGTGAGAAGCGGGACAAACATTTGACTCAATGTTGCACGTTTGTGCTGTTTGTCCATTTGATGTTGCATTGTAATTACAATTTCATACAATAATTTTATTAAATCTTGAATTATTATTTCAATTGCGACAGCGCACACGATTAAACAAATTGCAGTTGTTGTTGTTGTTGKTGCTGTTGCTGCAATTACAATCATAATTGCACTGTGCAACATAATTAAAAACTATTAATTATGTTGCCACACACGCACACACACACACACACAGCTTAATGTCTGCCACGTGCCAGCGAACCTGATCGTAGTTCAAAATGTTTAGCAGCTATAACTGTAATTAGTTTTCAACATTGTTCGAGCCAAGTTGCCAAGTCGACCTGTCCAACAGCTGAGCTTTATGGCCAACTGCCAGCTGTGAGCGTAAATCAGCCTGAGACAGATTTAGCTAGAGCGATTCGTGTATTTCATTAAGCAAACCAATTCATCAGTCAATTGACATCGCAATGAGTGAAGCCAAGTTGGGTGGGCAGAGGCAGCTGCTGCGACAGCTCAATCTAAAATATTTGACATCTATCTAGAATAGTATATGAGATTCCACAAATATATATGTAGCATATGTCAGCTTTAGAAAGTGCCCGAAGCGTAGGCAAATCACAAATGTGCATAGACAATAATTTGCCTGAATCAACGGGAAGTAATCTAAACTGGCTTTAAGTGACAGCTCATTCAAGAGCTAACACTTCCAAATTGGTTTATTAAGTTAATGCTTTTATTCCGCAACATGAGCCTGCAGTGCATCCCATTTCATGGAAGACCTGCAGAGCGACTTCCACGAACCCCACTGAAGGCAGAGCTGCCATAAATCACTTTCACTCTCCAAGTTGACTTCCCGGAACCAAATTTACTCTCTATGGTAATGTGAGTAACATCAGCAGAGATCTGAAACTTTAGGAATTTTCTTTGTGGCAACAAATTTATAAAAAAATTACGCTTCGGTTTACAAGCTTATACAGTAGAATCCGGTTATAACGATACTCAATGGACCATCGTTATACCCAGAAGGCGCTATAACCGTACAAGTTTCTACATATATGTATGCTTGACCAGAACTTTCACAATAGCCGTATGGGTACTGTAAACGGAGTCGTTATAACCGGGTTCTACTGTATAT